TTTGGTCTGTTGTGATTCATGGAATTGTTTTTATTGTCTTTTTCTAGAATATCCTTCAGAACTTTTTGGAGTGCTGCTGGCTGGTGGTCATGAATTTCTTCAGGTGTTCTTTATTATACAAGTATCCTATTTCTCCATCAATTTTGAAAGATAGTTTTTCAGGGTACATCAGTCTGGGTTGGAAGTTGTTTTCTTTGAGGGCTTGAAATACTTCATTTGAAGCTCTCCTTCACTTAAGTGGTTGTGTTGAGAAATCTGTTGTGATTCTGATGGGCTTTCTTTTATAGGAGATTTTGTTTTGTTTTGTTTTCTCTGACACCTTTTAATATTCTGTATTTGTGTTGAATTTCTGGAATCTTGAGTATTATATACATTAGTGTAATTATTTTGTTTGTTTTGATCATGACTAATCAGAGTTCTATATGCCTCACTTATCTGTATGTCAAATTCCTTTTCCATGCTTGGGAAGTTTTTTATCACTGCTTCTGTGAACAGGTTTTTTTATGCCCTTTGTGTTACCTTCTAATTTTTCATTCAGTCTTATGTTTCATTCAATCTTATGTTTCAATCAATCTTATGTTTCTTCTTTGCATCATGTAGCAGCTATTGAATTGATTTTTCTTAATCCTCTCTTGCTTTTTTAAAGAAATCTTTCATTCAATGATGGCTAACCCCAAACCTATCTTCTAGATCTGATATTCTGCCATCACATTAGTTGATTCTGCTGTGTATATTTCCAGTAGAATTTTTAATCTGGATATCTTCCTGAATTTGTTTCATAGAATCTATTTCTTTCCTATGTTGTACATTCATGGTTTCCATTACTTTGCTAAATTGCTCTATTTTTTTAAAATCTACATTCCCTAACCATGTCCTTAATTATGGTCATTATCTCTTTAGTTATCTGTGAAATTATTTCCGTTTTGTTTTTGTCTAGAGACTGAATCATCTGCCTTATTACTTGTGCTATTACCATTTCAAAATGTTCAACTGGGTGGCCTTTGATTTCTTCCACCTCATTGCTTTCAGATTGGGCTAGCTGGAGATCTAGTGGTGCACCTTGCTTCTGTGTCTTCTCATTTTCTTTTTTTTAATTTGTTTTCTATGTTTATGCTTCTAAATTGCTTATAGTACTCTATTACTAGTATCAAATCCTCTTTAAGAAATGCTTACTTTTCAGAGATGTCTTCTAAGTGTAGCAGGCTTTTGATTTCTGTGTGTGTCCCAAGATCAGGCTTCTCCAGTTTATTAGGAATAAGAAGTTGCTGCCTATTTGGCTTAGCACCAAGTTCTTTGGTACTGAACTATGGTATTGTTTATGATGCCCAGACAATCTCATTATTGGCATACAAAGAAGACCAACTGATCACAACAACTATATCACCTTGGCTAAAGTAGTACAATCAGTAATAACAATAGCATAAGCATAATCTAGAAAATGACAGACCATGGGAACTGTGAATTTGTCACCTTTAACCATAGGTAGAAGATTTATAATTATATAACAAAATCTAAAACAAATGAGAAAATTATATACAGTAAATATCCCCTCAATAGAGCAATTTTCCCCCCAGGGAAAATAAGAGGAAAAATAGAGGAATAAAAAAGATAAAGAGATTAGAAGCAAGGCTGAAGGACAAAGGAAGATTCCTCAAGCTTTGGGAAACTGGTAAACAAGAGAGAAGGGAGAGGAAGATAAAAAAAAAACAAAAACAAGAAGTAAAAAAAAAAAACTAAAGCAATGCTGGCACTCATGAAAAACAAAAACAAACAATCAAGGAAAAGAAGCAAAAGCAAAAAAAAGAAAGAAAATCTCTGTGATTTCAATCCTGTAGTTATCATCTGGGGTCAATAGTTTTGTGGTAATGTCCACTTCAGGGTTTGTCTCCACATTCACTGGTAGACAAAGAGGCAGAAGCCAGATCCATGCTGGATGATTCCAGCAAGCCTGCAGTAGGAATATGGCAGTGTGTCAATTCTGGTGCTTTCAACTCCACAGAAGTTCAGGCTCATCCTGATTTCTGGTTGTGGAGTTGTGGCCTGAGTTTTTAGCCTACAGCATTCTGAATGTGTCTCTTGTTGGTCTGGCCTTGGCTCCTTGACTCTGGATGTATCCTGCTGTTCTGTCGCAACCAGTCACTGGGAGTGCTCAGATGAAGTTAATGCATGTCTGTTCCAAGTCCCGAGTTTAGTTAGCTGTTCCCTAAAATGCATCTAGCCAAGCACTCTCCAGGGTACACTTGGACTGGAGTCACTAACCAGCTGTTGTAGCTCACAGCTTCCACTGCTCAGTTCCACTAGTGCAGTTCTCCCTGGAGGCCTCTGTAGTTACCTGCCCTCACTATATCTCTGTAGATTTGTACCTCCTCTCTCATCCCTCTAGCCAAGTGTCAGAAAGAAAGTGCAGTTTGCCACCTCCTTTTTTGCATTGAGGTCCATCTCTTCATCTTCACTATGGACACCAACTCTCCCTCCAGATCTTTCCTGAGTTCTGGGGATCCGTCTTCCTCCTTTTCTTGCCCCAAATTGTTATATTCTAGTATCTGGATTCTGAATCTCAGAAAGCATGATTTGTTGTTGTTTACCACTACACCATTTTTCCAGAAGTCTCCAGGAAGTTTATTTTGGCTCAGAGTTTTAGAAGTTTCACTCTGTAGTCAGTTGGCTCCAAGGCAGGGTGGCATGGCAGAGGGGCACAGCAGATGTGCAACAATACATGGCAAGGCAGCAGGAAGAAGAGAGGGCTCAAGGGGGGAGGGAAGGAGATAGAGCCTTCCAGGGCACACCCTTCAGTGACTCACCTCCTCCTACCAGGCTTAACCTCTCAACATCACATTTAGCTATAAACTCATCACTGGACTTATCCACTGATGGGTATTTTGCACCCATGATGCAGTTGCCTCCCAAAAGCCCCACCTATGAGCACATGAGACTTTGGGGGAATTACCTTTTCACTTAAAGGAAAGATTTCACAGCTTCTCTTTGGCGTATCTGAATTGCCAGCATCACTACACTTTTGCTCTAGAATCATTATTAAGTAAAATAAGGTTTACTGGAACACAAGCACTGTGATACCACTGTAAGAATCAGTCTGATAATTTAGATAGCTACTAAATTACTAATGGACAGGTAGTGTATATGGTGTGCATATGTTGGACAAAGGATGATTACATCTTGAGTGGTACCAAGTGAGATAGCATGTGATATACAATTTAAAAGTTATGAATTGTTTATTTCTGTGGATAAGGAAGGACTACCACCAATTTGAAAAGTTCATTTTTGGAACACATGACCTATTTCCCCTCAAAACATTAAATATATACTTGGATTTTAAAAATGTTTAGGGAGACGTAGCAATCCATCTTGCATTTACTCACACAGATTTCTGATATTTCAGGTTGTCTCTTTGCTCATCTCTGTGCTTCATACTCAAAAAAATTGCCTTTTAATAAATTTTAAAAGTTATATTCCTTTACAAAAAAGGAAGCCTGTATACCAAAAAAGTCCAACTCTGGAAAATTATTGAGTTCACATAAGCTGCATTAAAATGCTTACTAATTTCCCAGCAAAACAACTGCCTCAGTAGTGACTATGGAAAAGAGGAAAAGATACAGTTTCCTAACAAGCAATAAGCTGACTTGTGATTGTGACAATGGAAATTGAAATTGTACTTGCAGAGCTTGCTTATTTTCGACCAGGAAGCTTTCAGGAGAGGGGATAATGCGGGAGCTGTTTCTGCTCTGTTTACCAAAACCTAGCATGTGTTCCCATGCAAATTTTTCAATACCGAAAGTCATGCAGGACAATCCATGACTGTCTGGTCTAAGGAAACCCAAGCCTGGCATGACTCCCCGCTGGTAGCAGTTCAACCGCTAGATAGTTGAGCTTCATTTGACTACATCTTTGTACCCAGGGAATGTGAAGTTGTAGCATTCTGTGTATCCCTTTTCTTTTTTTTTTTTTTTCTTTTTTTTTATTTTTTTTTATTGAGTTTATTGGTACATTTAGGGATACAGTACAGTTACATTCATTGTTGGGATCTTGTACCTCTACATGACAAGTCTTGATTCTCATTTTTTCCCCTTACCTCTGCCCTCCCTTCACCCCCTCCTCCCCTCCCCATCTTCAAACACTTTATTTTCATCTTTTCATTCTCTCACATTTTTTTCTTTTCCCTTTTTGTTCTTCCCCTACGTATCACACCTTCCCTACATCTTTAGCTCCTTTCCTCCCATTTCTAAATGTCAGTAATCTTATTAGAATCTTATGCATTGTTGCAGAATATTCACACCAGGGAAACTATTCGGTATTTACACATGTGGGACTTATTTATTTCACTTAGGAGTATATCTTCAATATGTATCCATTTTCCTATGAATGAATCTATTCTCTCGCTCTTTATGGCTGAGTAATATTCCATTTTATAGAAAAACCACAACTTCTTTATCCAGTTTCCAACGGATGGGCAAATAGGTTGTTTCCAAGATTTAGCTATTACAAACTGTGCCGCTATAAACATGGGTGCACATACTTCTCTGTGATATGATTCTTTCAGTTCTCTTGGAAAGATACCCAACAGAGGGATGGCTGGGTCAAATGGATGTATCCCTTTTCTTTGTGCTTACTTCCTTTTGTTTCAGCTTGGGTCCTATTAAAAGTATCAATCCAGGGCCAGGGATTTAGCTCAGTGGTTCTGCTGCTTGCCTCACAAGCACAAGGACCAGAGTTCATTCCCTGGTACCAAAAAACAAAAAACAAAACAAAACAAAAAAAAGCCCACAAGAAACAATATCAATCCTTTTGGGACGGATATCTTAGAACTGCAGTTAAAGACATATACTTGATTATAAAAGGGAAACTATGAAATTATATATGATGGTGTTAAGGGAGGGACATGGAGACAGAGCTTAGCAGTATACTTAACTTTTCTCAATGTGAAGCATTTTGGATTAAATGACAGCTCTGCTTCTGACTTGATCCTATCTTTTCTATTTGAACAGGGCCACCCCGGACAGCCAGGCCCAAGAGGTCCATCTGGCCTGGATGGTTATAATGGAACTAAAGGAGCTGTTGGATTTCCAGGCCCTGTTGGCTATCCTGGGATTGTTGGACTTCCTGTATGCTGCCAGATCTTTGCATGTTAATTCAAACAATATTGCTATCCTCCGAATGTACCCTCTTTCCACTTCTCTGGAAACCTCATTAAGCTTGTGTGAGGTAGCCACTGAAGCTCCTTCTCCAACACAGGAATCTGTGCTGGCAGCATCACAACATTAAAAGTCTAAAGAATACCAGTTAGAGGGGAGTATACTATTTCAGGTGGCTTTCTTCTTAAATGCTACTTTGGGAATTTGACAAGATTGTTAAAAGACTATAGCACATTTCACAGCAAAATACACAGTTAGGCTATTTGACATCTTCCTACATCAGATGATGTTGGGAAGTACTTGGCAGTATCTGAAATTACAGAAACACTCAACAAGAGTCCAAAAGCCTGGCAAGCTTGCTTTGTACCAGTGGTTCTTAACCAGAAGAGATTTTTTTCTTCGGGGTACATTTCATTTCACAATCATTATTGGTATCACTAGATGTCACAATTGGGATATGCTACTGGGACAGGATGTTACCTTCCCCCCAGTGCACGTGTACACTCACACACACACACACACACACATACACACATGATCAAAAAACATTTAGCCCATTGTTGTTTAGTTTGAGAAATACTATACTCAGAGTTTGTCCCCCACAATTACAACTTTTTTTTTCTATTAAATTTACTGGTACTCTTTAGATATATAGTACAGTTACATTCATCATTGGGACCTTGTACCTTTACATGACAGGTCTTGGTTGTCATTTTTTCCCCATACCTCTCCCTTCCCTTCACCCCTCCATCCTTCCCTATTTACAAAAACTTTGTTTCCATTTTTTCCTTTTCTCATATTTTTTCTTTGCCCTTCTTTCCTTTCCCCTACCCTTCCCACTTTCCCTACTCCTTTAGCCCTACTCTTCCTATTTCACATTATCAGTTATACAAGTTGAACCATATTCACACTTGATTATAAGACTTACAAGGTATTTATTAGATCCCAGTGTCACCACCTTCATTTAATTCCATTCATCTACATAAAGTTCAATTATTTAAGTCTACAGGGTCTGTGGTAGATACTATGTCCTTGCAAGACTGATTTTATAAGTATCTGGAAAGAGGAAAAATAACATGTTTCAAGCCCATTCTTAACCTCACTTGAAATAATCTAAATTACTAAGGGTTCTGATGTGAAACCTTTAACTAGGAATAATACCATACATTACATAGATTTCATAGCTATGTGAATTAATTGGCATTTCACTGGAATAGCAGCACCGTAGCGTTCAGTGACCAGGTTGTGTGTATCGGTGTACATATGAGAAAATGAGACAGACAAATAGGCAAAACACAAGCTACAGATTGGTGTAAAGGACCTTGACATTTAAGGACCAAACCAATATACAGCAAGAGACAGGGGAGCGCTATAAAGTTACATTCTTAACATGGAATAATTGGTGTGAATCACAAAGGTCTTCAAACACTTCCATGGCAACAGGGTAGGGAGTAAAATACTTCTGTGGTAAGAACGGGATACAGAAAAGCCAAGCGAATTTCACTTCAAGAAGAATAGAGATCCTGAGGTAATAAACATCCTTTGACAAAGGACATGAGCAGAAACCTAATCCTATGCCTAAACCTCACCTTAAGCCTAAATAGGAATTTTAGCGTGTATTTTACTAAGCTGAACCTTACCCTCTCCTGAATAACCAGGGATCTCTATTCCATCAGCTTTTTTTTTCTTTTATTGAGTTTATTGATACAATCTAGGTATACAATACAGTTACATTCATCGTTGGGATTCTGTACCTTTACATAATAGGTCTTGATTCTCATTTTTTCCCCTTGTCCCTGCCCTCCCTTCGCCCTTTCCTCCCCTCCCCATTTACAAACACTTTATTTCCATTTTTTCAGCTTCTCATATTTTTTTCCTCTCCCTTATTACTTTTCCCCCGCCCTTCCCACTTTCCTTACACCTTTTGCCCTTTACTTCCTATTTCACATTATTAATTATCTCATTAGGATCCTGTGTACTATTATAGTTTTTCAAACCAAAGAAACTATTCGGTATTTCAAAGAAATCTCTGTATGAACATTAAAAATAGGGAATCCTAAAATAAAACTAAAAGGGAAAGTAAAAGAGAAAAGGCAATGATGTAACATTAAAATAATCCTTAATTCTGGAGATGAAAATGGTCCCTGAACATATTTAAATTGCTTCTTGCTCTTATAGTCTTATCTTATTCTTTTTTTATTATTTAGAGAATACTTTATTAGTTCCTATAATCAAACCCACGTAGATATAACCTTACATATTTAGTACGAGGTGTTACCCCTGTACACATGGAAAAAAAATAAAAAATGTTAAACTAATAGTAGCAGTATGTTATGCATCGATAGCAGCAACAGCTTTTCCAGGTTCTGCAGTCATCTGAACAAAATTATAGACATTCAGCACATTCCATTAAAAAAAACAAAACAAAAAAGAAAAGAATAATATCCAGAAAACAGCAAAGTTCTGTTGCTGTTGTGGTACCCTGCACCATTTTTTTATTAGCATCTTAATCATCCTCTGGAAAGAGAACATTCTAGAGTAATATCATTAAATGTAGCTCTGATAAAGCACGGTCCCTACTATGTACCATAAAGCAGGTATAAGATATTTTACATTCATAGAGGTATGATACGGTACCATACTACATCAATAATACCATCAGCTTTTTTGAAGAGAATAGTGACCACAACAATAGGGGAAATGGGCAGTGTTAAGAAATAAACTAGTTTATGCTTCTGGGAGCATGCTGCTTTTTTTTTAATTCACCAATAATCCTTGTACTTGAGAAATCCATATTGCAATCAACTCTTTGGCCCCCAAATTTTAGCCCTACCCTCATTATAACCTGACTTCCCCTTAGATGTACAAACACTGATTTTTTTTCCCTAGGATGAACTATAACAGATACTTGCTAGCATCTGCCAGAGATAGCTAGAGCAGTAAAGCCTAGGCTTATGAATTACATGCATTTGTTACAACAATGTTTTGAATAGTTTTGAAATGTCCTACTTTCTAACCCCCATACCTTTATAGACCTCGGACTTGGGAGCAGAGGAATGAGCTTCCAACTGTGAGACATTGACCAGGGAATGTGATTTGCCCCTTAACAGCCAGTTCTGCCTCAGAATAAGCCATTAAATTTCAAACTCTTGCTCCATTCTCCATCTGATCAGATCATACTACTAACAAAACTCTTATGTGTGTGCATGCTTTCACATGTTTGTCTTATTATTTTATTCAGGGACTCCCTGGTCTGAAAGGTTCAAAAGGTGAATCCATTCTTTCTCAAGGCAGTTTCACAGGCATGAAGGTAAGAGCCTTTAAGACAGATAAATGAGTAGGCTGTAAACTGAGTTCTGCCAGATTGGCACCCAACTGCAATGGAAACATTTTCAGAACTAGCATCTCTGTCCATATTTAAAGAGCAGACTAAGCTGGAATTGAAAAGTTTGAGAACTTTTTGTGGGAAAAATATTGACAGAAATATTTGCAAATATACTGGCAAAGAAATCTGCTTTGTAGTGTCTAGACTAAAAATAAGAGAAACAAGCGAACACTTTGCATGGCTATTTTTATGGCCTGTGTCCAGGTGTCCTCCCAGAGTCTCATGTGATCTTAGCTGGGAGCTTTTCAGAAATGGCTGGATCTAGAGTGTGTGTTGCTGGAATCAAGTGTATGTGATTAGTAAACTATTTCACTGATTGGCTTGGAATAGTTCTGGGAGTGGATAATTTATGTGCCGGTATTGTGGATGTGATGCTGGGATTGATTCATGGTGTAATGCTAGGATTAAGAGTTTCCCACTCTGGGTATGAGTGCTACCCACCCTAAGGGCAAGTAGCCTGGATAAAATATAAGAGACAGGGCTGCTATTGAAACTTGCTGCTTGCTACTTTGCTATCTTCTGCCTGCCATGAACTGTTCCTACTCTGCCATGTTCCTCTGCCATGCCACCTGCCTTGGAGCTAACTGATTATGGATTGAAACCTCTACAAACTGTAAGCTAAATAAACTTTTCTCTATCTTTGGGTGTCAGGTATAGTATCACATTCTTGTACATGCTGAGACATTTCCTAGAAGACACTTATTGACTACTCTGGAATCTTTGATGTCTACATACCTTGGTTCCAGTCCATGTATGTCTCTGCCCACACAGTATGGCCACCAGTGCAAGGTATAAGCCCTGCCTTTTTTTTTCGTCCCTGCACACTAGCTTGTCACCCTAACTACATCCCTGATGTGTCCATATACATGCCCATGAGGTCTGCAACTGACTAGAACTTTCATCTGTTATCCAGAACCTTCTATGTTCTTATGACTGTACTTTTGGTGTATGCTGCCTAATGTCCTTGCAGAGATTCAGTAAACCCTGGCTCCAAATAGTTCATCTATTCCATTGCAGAATAGAAAAGGAGCCCATTATTGCCCTGGTAGCAAATGGGAATATATACACCCAACCTCTGATAGGGAGATGCATCAAGATCTCTTGGCTGACTGATTGCACTTTTCAGTCTTTCATCAGTGCACAGAACCAAGGCATTGGAAACTGTGGAATGCAGTGATGGGATGGGTAGCAGAAGAACTGGAGAAGATACAGGATTTGGACTCATGCATTGGGTGATATAGCTGAAGATACAGTTGGGAAAGGCCTAATGATTATTGAATTCATATTACTCATTTTACAGATAGAAAAACAGAGATTCTATGTCTTGCTAAGAACCATACAGCCAGTTCACCAAAGAGCAAAGTCCCAGACAGTGTTCTTTCCATGCTACAGAGAGCTGGTATTTTTTACTGTAAGACAAGTAGGGTAAGACTAGCAGGAGTTAAAATGTAGCCATTGTCTTAGAAAACATTGATTAAATTGTTTGCTCAAAATCAAGAGACCCTGGATCCAGTGGGACACAGAAATTTCAACAAGATGGTTCTATTACAGATTCATATGGTGTCTTAAGATGCTGCAAAGTAATTAAAATACGATCAGAGACTGTATGCTCTGTTGATTTTTCCCTTTAAGTGTCTGATTTGCACTGTATACATATGGGCACAGATTATCTGGGGATGAAGGCACACGGGAAGGTAGTTTTGCCTTCCTCCAAGAAGAGCAGGAAATTCACCAGCCCACAGAAGAAATTTCTAATTGACAAGTTCCTCGCAAAGGTGAAAATTAATTAATCCAAGAAAAGTATGAAATCCTGTTTAGCCAAGGCTATAATATTGTCTTCTAGAGTCCAGATTTTTCATGGGGAAAAAAGCAAATGGTTCAATATGTTCAATTTGAGCATTATTTAAAGCACAAGGCCTTGACAGAGCATCCCAAGTTTTGGCAATGCATTCTTAGATTAATTGTCTGAAATACTTCAGGTTTAAGTTACTACTCTCTTCAGTGTCCTGCATTTGTCTGTTTCTTAGGGGGATCCTGGGTTGCCTGGACCGGATGGAATCATGGTAAGTTGTCATTTATATGTTGAGCTATCCATGTTTAGGCAATAGTCACTGATGGTATTTGGTTTTTTGTTCTTCTCTATGCTACTCAAAGCTCCTAAGGGAAAGCTAGAGAGTTGAGATAGAACAGGTGGTACTATTTACATTTTCCAGAATATAAGGCACCTATAGGATGACTTGTCCATCTCAAGTTGCCTGATAAATTTTCAGACTTTTGGCTAGGGACCTGTATGAAGTCGTACCATCCAAGATCCCCAGTAGATGCCTGAAACCATGGATAATAGCAAACATTATATGTACTGTGTTTTTCCTATAATATATACATGTGATAAAGTTGAATTTATAAACCAGGTGTAGTAAGAGATCAAGAAGAATAACAAGTGTAGTGTTATGTCAATAAAACGTGTTATGTGAATGTAATCTTGCTCTCTCTCTATGTGTCCATCCCTCCTTACTTTCTTCCATCCCTTTCTTCCTCCCTCTCCCCTTCTCTGTTTCTTTAAAGATCTTACTGTACTGCACTAACCCTTCCTCTTATGAAGATAAGAGATTATACAATGCCTATGTGAGAGATGAAGTGAGGTGAATGATGTAGACATGGGAATATAGCATTAGTTTACTATCTAAGGGTTGCTTGAACACAAAAATTGAAATACTTTTTTTCCATTTAATATTTCCAATCTGGTTTACTGGATGTAACTGAAAGCAAGGGAAGTAGAACCTTGGATAAGGAGGGGCTACTGCATTCCCTGAGATACATTAGGAAAGTATTTAGACCAGGAAAGGACATACATTATATTAATGAGCATTTTTTTTCTTTGAGATTCCACGTTTCTATCACTTTCTTTTGAAGTAGCCTAAGAATTATCCCTTCTTTCTTCCTTCTTTTCTGTATTCCTTCCTTCTTTCCATACTTTCTTTTTCAGTCCTAACCAGCTATTAAGCACCTACTATTAGCAAAGTGCTGTGAATGACCCTGTAGGCAATGTAAACAACAGTCCCTGTCCCCAAATATGTGAAAAACAAATAGTAGAAATATATCCTAGGAATTCCACAGTAGCATAGATGAAGACATGCTGTTCATCTAAGGAGTTATAGTGGGAGACTTGTTTCTGAAAGAAATAAGTAGGTTCTGAGAAGTATGGATGGTATTGTTGGCAGTGGGAGGAGTCTTTAGACAGAAATGTAGAGGGGCTGCAAGCCCAACCCAATACAAAGATGAGCATGGATGAAGGGCATATAGGTCCCATCGAGATAAACAACATTGGCTTAAATACTATGTTCATTAAATTCATAGAATGACATTCACTGTATTTGCTGCATAGCTTCTCTTGGAGATTTATTTCCCTTCCATGAAAGGTATGGTGTTTATCTTCACAGGCGCAATGAGTAAAGTACCTAGACTTGAAAAGAAGGTATTTGGTGGTTAAATAAGAGATTTATGATCAGTCAGGAGACCACAGGTTGTTGGTTATTTTCAAAGCAGTATTCATGCTATCATTAATTCTTAGGGAATATTTCACCCCTCTCTTTTCTTACTCCTAAGTTCTCACCTCTCTTAGACTCTCCTGCCCTTATCTAGGAATATGTCACTTTCATCCTGCTCCCCAATGGGAGCAGGCCTACATTTTTTCAGACCGTCTTTCTGTTGATTTTATTGTCTTGCTTTAGTATTGTTATTCTGTTCTAAATATTTTCTTATTTCTCTTCTTACTCTTTCTTTGACCCATGAAGTACTTTGAAGTGTAGTATCTCATTCCCAAATATTTGGCAACTTTCCAGTTTTTCTTTTTTTTCCCCCTTTTTTGGTACATATTTGCAGTATATAGTCATCACATTTACTCTAGGTAATTAGTACATGTGCATAACACATTTCAATTTTTTCACCCTTCCCCCTACCCAACTTTTATCTTGCAGCATCAGATTTATTTATTTATAATACCTTACAAACTTAATTATCATACATGCAGAATAAAAAGGAGACTAATAAGCCAAAGAACACATAAAACATGTAAGACAATTATACTAAGTCAAAGTACATTTAAAAATACATTTTTGTACTGGATTACAATACTTTATTTCCTTTCATTCTCTTTTTTCC